ACGGAATCCATGTACATCCTGAAAAGTCTCTTCGACTGCTTCAGGGAAACTCACCTATGCCTACCTCCCCGGGACTAGCGCTGTAAGTGGAAGACTCTGAAGAAAAGGGGTATGGTCGCCCCAATCCTTAGAAACCGACACGTCAGCTCGAACGCCCGGATGAAAGCCAACGAGTTTGGGTGAAGCTGCGATGGTGCCAGCTCCAGATGGGTGAAAACCCCGACCTGAAAGTCACTGAAGGGGAGCTTTAACCCCAAGTCCTTGAAAGAAATCTCGTACATCGGGAACCCATACTCGGGGAACTCCGAGCAAATTCGGGCAGTAAAAGTCGGCCTACTGACGACAAAGTTCTTTTGAAAACCGGGCTGACTACCGCCCTGTTCAAGGATGGTGAACGCACTTCGACTACGTCGACTATATGCCGAAGCAATCCCCCTGGGCTCGGTGCCCAGCCATTCCAGCAAAGGGTCCTCGATGGTATCAACCAAATTTACATTTTCCTCGGCACTTTGGTCTTCCACCTCAGCGCGCCCCGAGGAACACGGTTCGTCGGCCATGGTTACCTACAAAGCACAGGAAACCGGTCAATTGAGGAGCAAATCCATACGCTCGCCATAGCGGACGGAATGAAGAGCGCGACAAGCCATATCACTCCACGCGCGACTAAAAAAGTTGGTGTCTCGAAACAAAAAGAGAATTCACCTCCCCGACTCCCAGATACCACGACAAGTCTCCCTACAGATCGCCTAAGTGGGCCAACGTCTCGACCACTCACGAATATGTCGACCTAGACTATGAACGTGGCGAGCGATATCATGCGTCCCAAAACTAGAGCCATGAGTTCACCGGGCACCACCAAGAATTAGGCACCCCGAATCATGACGATCCCGGGCAGCACTGCTAGTTAAATACCTAAACTATGCATTTATCGGGCGCAAACATGCATTCGCCGGGCATAAACATGTATTTGTCGAGCTAAACACGAATATATTGGGGCTAATCCCAGGCGTACAGTCTCTAAGCGTCTAAAAACAATGAAAAATCATGCATCACAAAGGAAAAACAAAGGAGACAAGACACTTACTTGGAATCAGGAAGGAAATGCGACGGCGAAGAAAGGGAATCAGCGACGGAGATCACGGCGGTCCTATGAGTATCTGGGAAGAAAAGCAACAGCAGAAACAGAGGGAAGAGGAGAAGCGCGAAGAGGGAAAATACGTTTTGGGGCCCAAGGACCCTATTTATAGTGATGACGTGGAATACCAAACGTCACCCCGGGGAACCACAGACTTCCCTCCTCGACGCACAGCCCCCCTAGGCAATGATGACCCTACCTACAATAGGGTGGCGGCACGACTCCCAATAGATACCTCGTGTGCCCAACAAACGCAGCCCGCCGAGAATCCCTCGGGGACTCCTCGAAGGGAATTATCTCGCGGACTCAATACGGGGGGAGCTCCTCGAGTTACCACGGGGAACTGCATCCCTTTCCCGGATTCGGGGTCCCGCGACGGAGGCGACCTAAGATCAAGTCACGGCTCCTACTCCAGGAACCACGACTTGAGGGGCTCCTGTTCTGGACTGGGCCGAGCTGGCCCAAAAGCAATGGTGAAGGCCCAATCCAAACGGTCTTGCAAGGGGTCACGCCGACCAAGAGGCCACATCCGTGCCCGACACTCTCTGCCAGTGCGACATCCTCGCCTTCAAGCTATCCTGCTCGACCCCAGCTCGAGCACCCCTCCTAGGGCAGACACTATCCACTACACCATCACGTGGGTCCCGAAAAGACCGCGTCCTCGTCCGTCCGTACTTCACGCAGAACATCCAGGAAGGGGACCACGTGCGGGTCCCCCACTACGCACGTAGAACCTGGCAGTTCCTCCATTGGGCCAAACCTGCCCGGCCCAATGAAGGGACCTTGGCCCAGCGCTGGGGGCTATAAATACTCTCTGTTCCCAGAGGGTCAGGTATTCATTCTTTGACCATACACACACTTTTGCCTGCTCGTACTCTTACTTACTTCAGCATCGGAGTGCCTTGCAGGTACCCCCCCCCCCCAATCTCGTTCAAAAACTTCAGCTCGGAGCCAGCCGTGACGGTCCAAGTCTGATCAGGTTAGATCAATAATACATATATTTTATATATAACAATTTTGTGCTCTAATAGTTCTTTCAGTGTGCAGATAAAACATTCAAATTGATTCAGGATTTTTGTCTGAAGAATCATCAGAAATGTGTTTAGCTCACCTCAGAAAGACTATTGCATCTGGTTCTGATGTAACATCAGTAGTTCTAATGAATGCTCAATATTCTCCAGAAAGTGATCCACGTGTACTTCTCCAGAGAAGTTATTGCTTCAAAATTCAAGTGTATCCAAAAAAGAATTTATAGTTAAGATCAGATATCAAGTTTTTGCTTCAAAGATCAGAAATTAAGATAAAGTGTTTCTCAGAAAAAGTTTTTGCTTCCATCTCAGATATCAAGAAATTGTGTGTCAGATAAGTTATTGCTACATGTTTGAAGACAAGGTTCTGGTTCTAAAAGACTCTGGTATTTTTGTGAACACTATAATAAAACATATTCTGAAATATTTATCACTTCTTATCATAAACATTTCATCAGAAGATTAAGAACAAAGACGAGATCTCTTTTGCGCTTTCTCTCCTACTTTAGATCATAAGTATATTAAAAGAAGAAAAGATCAAAATTTTACACAAGAAGAATATAGTACAATATACAACACTTTTTCGTTATTTGTGGAGAAAACAGTGTATGGATAAATTTTTAATGTACCCTTTGTATCCCACAATTATATGCTAGTGTTATAGCAGGTAGCTTGGTGAAAGTGACGTTTTCCAACGGTCTTCTTTTCTCAGCCTATTTAAAGGGATTACATTTTCACTTAATACCGAGAGAGATTGGAATAAAAATTTGGAAACAATTCAAACGATCAAGGCATCAAAGTTGTTGTACAAAGAAAGAAAACAAAAAAAAAACATTCAAAAAATATCAAAGAACACAAAGAGTTATTGCTCAGATTTGTGTTAACTTCTTTTTTCTAAAAATACAAGAGTTTGTTTGCGAGAAGCATTTACAAAAGACATAGTTTTGAAAACCCCAATTTAAACCCTCCTTTTTTGTATTTTTCTCAACCTTCATTTTCAGTCCACACCTTTAACAAAATCAGTCTCGCATCGCCCTATTTTTTGGGAGCTTTTGCAGGGTGGGACTAAACAGGACGAACATGTTCATTTACCACCCTTACTTTTAAGTGAGAAACACTTGACACAATGTCGTTTATGATGATGAGTACAAAGTCTACTTGCAGTTTAAGACTTCACAAGTTTCATGGTTAACAATAATTGATCATAATGATAACTCTAGTTTTCCTCACTCAATCCTCGTATGTTGGCCCTTGAGTTTTGTTTTCTAAAGCTTCTGAATATATTATTGGTAATCCATCTCTTTTATCAAAAAATATTATAGATTTATGTGATTTACAAATATAATCTTCTGTAACAATCATCGGTTGGTTTTGATCATGATAATTGTCAAGTTGATTCAACTGTTAATGACAGTTATGGGTGTTTGTGGATTGGTTTGGTTCAGTTTCGAGAGAATCTTTTTCTCAAACTGATAAAAATATGTTATGTTTGTACATTTTTATGATAAAATTTAAACTAAATCAAATCCAGAAACAACAGGTAAGTTTGGATTGGATTGATCACATACATTAGATTCAAATGTGCAAAAATATTTTTAAAAAATATCTAATTTACAACAATTAATTTTTCATAATAATGTAAAATCACTAATTTTTTCGTGTTTCCATATAAATTGAGAATGTCAAAAATGGAGTTTCATTTTGAAGTGGAATACCTTATATTAGTTTTATGATAATGATGATATAAATAATACAAATTAATTATGGTTGGTTCGGATAGACGGATTCGCTGATATAATTTTAGAAATTCATTGCTCGAACCAATTAACATCGAGTTTTATGATTTGGTTCGGTTTTGCCCGAACTTAAAAAATGTCCAACCCAAACATTACAGTTTAGTTTCGATTCCAGTTTAATACAGATTTGCCCGAACCAATGAACACCTCTAATGACAACCATCAAGTGGTGCAAATATTCTTAACTTCGAACTCATAAGACAAATGACAAGTGGTGTTGACTCAAGAAGTTCTTGAAGACAACTATCGAATAGAGAGTTGGTTACAACTTCGAGTGGATTCTGATAATGGCATCTAAATAAGAGAAAGATATCTCAAACCTCTTCAATCAAACATTCAGAATTCCATTCAAAGTGTTAGTCTATGATAAATCAAGTAAAGGAACTTAAAGGTCTGGAATTATAAAAAGACAGAAAGTGTGAAAATTTGTCTAATCATGTGCTTAACATTTTAGATTGATCAGTCAAATTGTAAAAAATGCAAGAATAAATCTTAAGATACTAAGTTAATACATACACATAAAGCTTTTTTAAATCCCAAAAGTGGTTTGTTGTTAATTTTCAAAACCTTCCATATTTGGGTGAATTAATCAATTATCAGTTAAGATTAATCTATTAAATCATTTATGAGACCCATGAATTGTTTCTTTTCTTGAACCATATCTTTTCCTTTATAAAGAAGATTTATTCTCATTTCATTTCACATCAGTTTTCTGAATAGAAACATTTCTATTATTTTTTTTACTCTATCCCCTTCTAAATTACATTTTCACTATCTTAGTTTCAATAGATTGAAAACTTCTTATGAGAATTGTGTTGTAGTGATGTTGTGCTAAAATTGTTCTTATTCAAGAGTTATTCAAGAGTGAGATTCTCTTCCTTTTCAACTGCTTCTCTCTTTCTTTCAATCCGTCAAAATATAATACATGGAAGAAAAAAAATAATCTATACCTTTTAATTTTATACATATTTAGTAGGACCTAAGTCTTATGATTAACTTAACCAAGCAACATGGAATAGGAGGATAAAATGGTCAAGAACATCATGAAGAAGTTGCATTAGGGTCTGTACTGGAAATAAGTCGAACCTCGTATAAATCATTTTCGCCCTTACCTGCAACGCAAGATTATGTTAGAATGCATTCATTCATTTGGCGTATAAGCATAGTTGCTTAAATTTTTACTCACCAACTTCTGCTGTAATTCCAGGCCCAAAGAATGAAGTAAATTTAGCCTGTAACACAAAATATAAGTTGAGAAATAGTTAACACTTATATCTTTGCTATTAAAACTTCTGAGGATCTTAGAGTTACATAGAATAAGAATTGAATTGATTAAATTCCAGAAGCAACCATCTAAGGTTAAAGCTTTCTGTCTGTCTATAATGTCGTTATGAATAGGACGGTTTTAATTTATTTTTTTTAGTTAATCCACTGACATAAGCATCTGTAAAACTGTTTGAGAGAGGCTATAGAAACATCTTGGGAATGTCTATCTGCTGTTTTCAACTTATTTCTATAAGTTCACCAAGATAGCTTAAAAAAAGTTGATAGCTTATATGAAAACAGTTTGACTATATCTTTTTGTTATAAAAATAGTTTGTAACATATGTACACACTGATAACGTTTATGCTATTAATGCTTAATTAATTTGTGTATCCAAACATAAGTTGTTTAGTTTAAGTTTTATAAGTAATAAACAGAAAATAACAAATGACAGAAGCACTTTTTTCAATGAAAAAAGCTTTTCCTTCTAGAAAAGGTACTTTTGGAGCATTCTTAATCGTAACTGTAAAACAAACAGACTGAATCCTATTAAAAGAACATATTGATCTCATGATAATTGTATTGAGCCATTTTGTATGTCTGCTCAACTTGTTCTGAATTTTCTTAAACGAAAATTCACATCATTGCAACATTATATAGCTTCTAGCAATTTTGCATTCAGAAATGAAAATTAGGGTCATTACTCATGAAGAGGTAAGAAAAGATGAAAACAAATTTGAAATAATTAAAAATGTATCCAAGAAGCACAGTTAAATACCTGTCTCTTTTCAAAATCTGACAATTCCAGAGTCTTAGCCTCAAAAACCAAGACCAAACTATATTTCCCGTCTTGTGTGACCTAAGATATAGGCATATTATGAGACAATATTAGTAAGGGAATGACCATATACTAACCAATAACAAAATTCATATGCAAGGTAGCATGCATCTCAGATGAATAGATTGTTAGAGGTAACCATTTCAGAAGGACTATGGAATCTTCTACGTTTCATATAATGAGATGATCAATAGAAAAATAGTACAAGCACCACACGTATTGCATTAACACCGAAATAAAAACTTGTTTCTATTACATGAAAGGAAAGACATGAACTAGCGACACAAATAAAAATCATAAATTTACAACATTAAAATCTTCTCAGTATTTCTAAGTAATCTACCAAATCATCCCCAAAAATTCAAAAACTATGTCACTGATTAATGAATTAATGCAAATTGACAATTGTACCTCTTCACGAATCAATTGTAGAACAGGTGCACTTCTTCTGGGGATTCCTCCTCCCTGAAAAATTAAGAATACAAGATGATGTCACAGAATTGCGACAAGATAGTGGCAACCTCAGTATTTAGCTTATGCAGCTGGTATGGATGAAGATATCAGAAAGTACAAAGGAAGACTTTTGCTCCTGTTCAGAACCAATTCATCCTAAAAATCTGTTTGAATTGACTTATTTGAGTTTATCTACTAACATAGTCACTCGTCAGACTATTTGAAAGAACTTATGAAAACAACTTACATGTTCTTAAGTTGTTTTCAGCTTATTTCCACAATCTCTCTAGAACAACCTATGAAAACAACGTATAGCTTATATAAAAGTAGTCTGGTATTTTATCTTTCGTTATAGAAATAGATTATACATAAGCACTTATACAATAAGCATTTATGCTACAAGAGCTTAATTAAGTTGCTTATCCAAATAGTGCCACAAGCTAGTGGATGCAGGCTTGTAAAAAGGTTTCAAATGAACCTTAACTATCTTCAGGTTCATTTGAAACATATGCAAGAAAAGGAGAATCAATTTCGTTACTTCTATATTATGTTCCAAGTTTTTGAGCTTCCCCGACAGCCTAACACTTGATTATTCAAAATATCAAAATGAAGGAATCAACAATATACAAAAAGTAATTCAGTTCCTAAAATAATTCAAATAACTTACTAGACCATACTGAAAAATCCGTTTCAATGCTTCTTCTAAATGCTGTTCATCCCCATAACGAAATCTGGTAACATCACTCTTCACCTATAAAAGCACAAAAGAGTCACTTTAAGTGATTAGAGGAAAGACTGAATCTATTGGTAATACAGAGAAATATCATTATGTGATTCTTCTCTTTAATATTTAATACAACATACAAAGAAAAAAGTGTCACCACATAATTAAAAATAAATTTAAATATTTTGAGAATCATGGAGGGATTTAATTTTTGATGCACAAAAGTGAGTATTGTTGGAATGAACTACTTTCTCTTATACATGACCTAAGATGCTACTAAATATGGATTCTACTAACAATTTTCCATACATGAGTCTATATACAAGGCGCAACCTAACAGACACAATAAAGGAATTGGATCTCTGCGTAAAGCCCCGAACCTAATATTAATCCACATTTTTTACATATGCTATTATGTGTCTGTCAAATAGGCGTGTCGAACAAAATTTACATTGAAAAAAGCCATGTTACGTATAAAAACGCTATACACATAAAACGAAGAAAAATGTGACAAATTGCAATTTTAACCCTTGATGTTAATAACCAAAACCTACACATTACATTATATACTTTTGTCAATTACCTAATCTTAAATGATCTCAGATAAATGGTTTGAAAGGGAAAGATCAGCTATGAAGCGCGGACTCCGACACAGACACTGGGACACGAAACAACATGGACACTCTGACACCAAACAAACACTAGGACATGAAACAACACGAACACTCTGACACCAATAATGTCAAAAACATAGGGACACTGACACTGCTACATATATGATAGTATTATTTGACATTCATTTATCCATCTATTTTAAAAGAGTTAAAAATATTCCAATCAAAATTAATGCAGTTAATTCTTTGTTGATAACATTGCTTCATTTAACTATTTTAGATGCGTTTGAGATTTGTCCAAAAATGTATTAGGTAAAGCAAAGAAAAAAACAAATTTTTATGAAACTCTTACTTGAATTGTCCAACAAGTGTGTCATACGGGTGTCAGATACAGATCCAAAAAGTGTCAAAACAAAACAAAAAAAAAACAATTTTGGGGACAATTGTCCGACTTTTCCATCACGTGTCGTACGAGTGTCATACAAGTGTTGGATACCACGACACGCCTACTTTTAGAGGTGTTTGTGCTTCATAGAAGGTCAGACATATCATATTTTATTTGTTTAATAAATAGATTAGGTGTCAATATACAAGATCGCATGTTTAAGTCAAGGAAAACAATGAAAACAACATTCAACTAGAAACATAAAATAGCAGAATATTTCCAACTACAAGAAGTGGAAAAGAAGAGTACTATATACAAGGAACATCTAAAATGACACAATATTTCCAACTACAAGAAGTGGAAAAGAAGAGTACTATGTGGCAAGAAGAATGCGAGTATGATGAGATTACCTGTTTAAGAATAGGAGTTGCACATTTTTCCTGCAATTTGAAAGCATCTGAATTTGTGAGGCATGGCACTGGCTTGAGTTCTGCATACTACAAAAAAGACAGACCCCATGAAAAGAAAAGATAAGCAAAGAAGACAAAGAGTGGATCCGCCTAAACAATGCTAAAAACCATGAAGCAACAGCGCAAATGGAAGGGGAATTATAACATGATTACATAGCACAATATTGTTCTCTATGTAGCCCCTACACTTCAGATTGAAGGTGCGTTTGAGTGTACGACTAGTGTCGATGTCCTACCGTCTGAAACATGTGTTTGCATTCATTCACTTCAATTTTCTCAAATTATTACAAGTGCATATGTGTCAGTGTTAGTGCAGTGTCTAATGTCCAACTGTGTTAGTATTTAATAGGTTGTTATCATGAACTTCATCTTATAATTTGATTCACATAACAAAAAATTATTCACCTTGAGCGCCATGCCAATAATAGCAAGAGGGAACCCATATGTTAACATTATAGCTGACCATTCAGATCCAGGGAGAATATTAAAGTATGCTCCAAAACCATAGCTGCATATTTGAAACAAAATAAAAACAAAAACATAAGATGAATAACCATAGCTGCATATTTGAAACAAATAAAAAGAAAAACATAAGAAGATGAAAAACCATAGTTGTATATCAATGAAGAAGGTGGAAACGAAAATAAAACTCACGACAAGAGTGAGACTCCAAGACTTAGTCCAATCGTACCAAACGAAATCTGCAACAATTGAACAATACTCTTATAATCATAAGCATGAAAACTTCACTCAACAATAAAATACACACAAGATTATTATGTTAACATTTACTTCCATGAAAATCATATATATGCATCTAACAGCATCCAACTGTAGTAGTTTCTAAATTTGGTTAATATGAAGTGCCACTCACATAAGTTGATTGAATTTTTTCTGATTGGTTTCTAATAACTTGATGACTTATTATACTTAGGAGGAGCTTGGGAAAACAACTTAAGTATAACATATATATTGAAGTTGCATTTGTGATTCACATAGCCAAACTTCCTTAAATGCAAGGTATATATGTGCTTTGGGACCTTCATTTTTTAAGCTAGCTTTTGAGGAAATAAGTGCTTATCATGATTAATAAGCTATTTCCACAATCAAAGAGGAAATGAGAGAAATTTCTGCATAACCTCTACAGCTCCTAAAATCTATTTCGGGAGCTTATTACAAAAAATGACTCTCAAAACAAACTTCGAACATATCATAAGATATTTTCGTGAACTTTCTTTAACACTTAAAAAAAGTACAATAAACCCAAACAAACATGTTCATCCAAACATGCCCTCACACATAATTCATCACAAATTTTATTTATTTTCCCTAAAATACTCTATGTCCTAAATATAAGTTCCTCTATTCAACAACAACAACAACAATCAAGTCTTATCCCACTAACTCGAGTCGTCTACATGAATCAACCGCCATAATGTTCTATCCAGGATCATGTTTCTATCCAAATCATTAATCTCAAGATCTTTCTTAATAACTTCTGTTATAATTTTTCTTGGTCTTTCACTGCCTCTAGTTGTTTGACTCATCTCCATCTGATTTACTCTTCTCTCCTTATCACATAATCTACATGTCTTATCTCTACATACTCAAACCACCTAACTCTATTTTCCACTATTTTCTAGTTTTTCTACTATAGGTGTTCCTCCAACACTCTCTCTAATATTTCAAAATGATGTTAAAATTGCCAGAGATCCAACGCAATATCTCCATCTCTACTACAATTACTTTATTCTCGTGTTTATTCTTAACCATTAACATTCTGCATCGTATAACTTATTTTAAACTTAATAGTAGAAGCAGTATCTATGTATACCTTGGTAATGGAGATTTCTTCGTCGGGAACAAGCGTGATGTTGTTGTTGTTAGGAACGTCAGAAGATCGGGAAGTTGTGGTGGTTGAAGAATCAGCAGCTCTTGTGGGAGTAACACAAAACCGATTGGAGTTGAAGAAAAGCTTTGTGTGAAAACATGAAATTGATTGGGGATGAACAGAAACGAGTCGAGACCGAGTCGAATTGGTGAGCTGGGGACGAGTTGAGTGTGGAAGAAGAGGAAGACATTGAAACCGGTGACCGGAGCAGACGGTGGCTCCACCTGGCATCGCAAACGGTACGGTTTTATTCCTTTTGGTGTTTCCGACTGAACGAAAGAGTTGCAAAAGCTTACAAGAGAGTGTGAAGTTGTGGTTGTTGCTTCTCAACCGCCAAATTTTTGGTTACGTGTCTTCATTCTTTATCTTTCAGATTATCTATTTATCTATTTTCTTTAATTTAAAGCAAGGAATATTTTAAATTCATTATTTTATATTTCCTCCATAGTCCATACCTTTTTAATTTTTGGGTGCTCACCTCCATATCGTAGTATATGGTATATACTAGCGCTATTTAATAAAAATTAAGAAACAAGATGGAAAAAAAATAATATATCGATAATCATCGTAACTTCTCGATTTTGATTTTTGAAAGATAAATGAAATGGATTAATCATTACAACAAAGGAATTCATCTCAATAAGCAAGAAAAGAAACTTAAATAACTCATATTATCAAACTAGGAGAATTTAACTTACCATCTTTTGTGTGGTACCTAGGTTATCTGATTCCTTTATTAAGATTGGATCAAAAAATCTTATTGTAATATGGACTTCAAAATTATTATTCGAGTCCATTTCTAGATGAATTTCGGGTTATCCGATCTTAAACGGATTTTTTTAATAAAAAATTAAAATAAAAAATCTATAATATTGACTATAAATAAAATCAAAAATTATATTATTCTAAGTATAATAAAAGAGAAAGATTAAATAGAATAGAGACAAAATTTAGTGAAGTAAAAAAAATCAATGTGTTATTTTGGAGTAACATAATATAAGAATTAATATAATTTTTTTAAATTTATAACAATACATACCTAATAGGCTACTCACGGCCCATATAGGCTAGTCCTAATGGATAGTGTGAAGGAAAATTGCGATCAAAAGCGCAGCGGAATTTAAAATTTTCCTTTAGCGATCCTTACGAATGAACATGGTCAGTGATAGAAATATTTACCTCTTGTGGCGATTCAGACCTTTGATGTTGTGATCACGAGCGTTGATGAAGAACAACGCCTCTACTCAGTCCACACGAACAGATCGTTTCCAGTCACAGTGCTAACTGATCACGAACAGAAACCTTGAGTGAGAGAGAGAATCAAAAATGAAATTGCATCAAAAAAAATTGCTTCATCACAGGGGATCTATTTATAGAATCACTCGTGTGGGCTACAAGCTAAAAGCCCAATTAAGGCTATAAGCTAAAAGCCCAATTAAGCTTATGGACATCATACCTTATGATGTACCATATATCACTTATCCACGTGGTACCTTATCACTTTCTGTATTACACTTAAGTGCACCGTATCTTACGGTGTTCCTTATTTATTCTATCTCCCATCAACATGTCCTTATGTGTGTGACCCTGTAGGTTTTCGCGACGTTGGCAATTATATTAAATCACACATTTAATATAATAAACAGTGAGCGGTATCTAGCAACACATCATTGTTACCCAAGTCACGAAAATGTCATGTGATCTGACCAAACCTTTTCCGTGATAATATTTGTGTTGTACAATTACCTTTTTGCCCTCATCTCTATATTGAACACAAGGCATACACTGTGTCACCCTTGTCCAGTTCAATATTGGGCCCTTAGACATTTATCCTGTTATGCAGGATGAGCAAATTCCATCTAGGTCACTCATGTCCCTTAGCATGCTTTGTGAAGTACCCATCAACCGTCTTTATAGTCATCCAGTTACGGATGACGTTTGATCAGCAATAAAGTACTTGGCTCTACATCTAGGGTCCATAGTGGTTTCAGGTCGAAGGGTGGTATACACCATTATCATCATGAGAATAACTTATGACACTTTGCATAACATTCTATGTAGTATTCTCATAGCGGGTCAATCCAGTATAAATATTACTCCTAATATTCATACCTATGTCAAGACTTGATAACTCCTTATCTATGATCCATGAGATGTGATCATCAATCTATCTTCATAATAATCTTAATGCTTTAATGTTATCCCACTTCACATTAAAGCTTGACTATGGATACTTTAAGAATAGTGTCTTATGTTTAATGGGATCTCATGATTAAGTCACACTTAACATTTCATTAAATAAATAAACCATTCTAGGGACTTTATTATTTTGGAAAGCAAACATAATAAAGAAATGCCTTTTATTATTAATAAATAATTCGATACAAGTACCAAAAGTATTGGCCTCTAGGGCCTACACCAACAATCTCCCACTAGCACTAGAGCCAATCGGGCATACCCCTAATACCCATAGATCTAGTATGTCCATCATGCTTCAGCTGCGCAAGAGGCTTTGTTAATGGGTCGGCAACATTGTCAAGTGTAGGTACTCTGCATATTTTCACATCTCCCCGATCGATTATCTCTCGAATGAGATGATAACGCCTAAGTATGTGTTTGGATCGTTGGTGAGATCTAGGCTCCTTAGCTTGTGTGATAGCACCATTGTTATCACAATAGAGATCAATGGGATCCACAATGCTATGGACTATGCCAAGTTCATTAATGAACTTCTTGATCCAAACAGCTTCCTTTGCTGCAGTTGAGGCAGCAATATACTCAGCCTCGGTTGTAGAATCAGCAATTGTATCTTGCTTTGAACTTTTCCAGCTCATGGCGCCACCATTTAAACAAAACACATAACCAGATTGCGATCTAAAGTCATCCTTATCTGTCTGGAAGCTAGCATCGGTGTATCCAATTACAGCAAGCTCTTCCTGACCTCCATATATCAATAATGAGTCCTTAGTCCTTCTCAAGTACTTAAGGATATTCTTGACAGCTACCCAATGAGCATCACCGGGATTAGGCTGGTACCTACTCGTTGCACTTAAAGAATATGAGACATCTGGTCGAGTACATAGCATGGCATACATGATAGATCCTATTGCAGATGCATATGGAATCTTATCCATGCGATCCCTTTCTTCCTTACTTGAAGGGGATTGTGTTTTTGACAGACACATGCCATGTTGCATATGTATGAATCCTTTCTTGGAATCATGTTGTTGTACCCCAAAATTTACCCTCCCATATTCTTCAAGATTTGTCAAGATCAATCTTCAAATGGACCAAGGGGTTGCACAGTCAAACATTCTCCTAAGCCAGTCAAAATTAGGGTTTTGGTTCTTGCAAAGAATTTGAAGTTTTCAATGGCTCAATCAAGTCCCATAGGCCTATATATATTCTCAAGCATTTACATGACAAGTCTCAAGGCTCACAGCATCAAATTGCACAGTCAAAAGCTTCATTTGGTTCACAATCAACTGCAGGGGCAAAATGGTCATTTGGCAGTCAAAAGTCAGAATTTTTGGTCAACATCTTATTTTGAAGCCAAAATCATCATTTGATCAAGTCTTGATCATGATTCCTCAAGCATGGCTCAAAAATTATCAAGGATGCAAAAGTTGCTATTTTTGGACAGCTGAAAAGTCAACTGTAACTTGACCAAGGCATAACTTTTTCATGGTTCATCAGAAAAATCCCATCCAATGCTCATTTTGAAGGGGATGACATTTCCTACAACTCATATTCACATTCCAAGTCCAAGAAATGATCTCACAAAAAGTTATCAATTTCTACATTATAGGTCAATTTCAAAAGTCAACAAAAATGCACTTTAAGTCAAAGACCATAACTTGAGATTGGTAAATCCAAATGACATGGGACCAAAGGAATTGATTAGAGGACTTCAATACCTTTCCAAAATGTCCAATAACATGTTCATATTATCAAAATTGAGCAAGATATGCATTGGAGAGGTTGGGAAATTTTTGGGAATTTGCAAAAGTCAACTTTGCCCAAAACACCTCATTTTTGCTAATGGGCCTCAAATTCTTTCTTGAAACTTTGTCCAAGGCCTATGCACGACCCACTGAGCTTAAATTGAATTATTTTCTTATTTTTATTAATTATTTGGATTTTTAATTGATTATTAATTCATTTAATTAATTTAATTGTAGGAAAATGCCAAGATATGGTTTTCAAATCTTTTGTGAAGCAAATAAACTCAGGGCAAGCTGGAAAATTCGTGCATCAATCAAAGAGACAAAAATCTCCATGTTTGGCAAGTTTTATCAATCAAAAAGATTGAAAATTATTTGATTTCCAATCAAATATTGAAATCATAATGCCATGGATCCTTGACCAAGATTGAACCCTAATTCCATTCCAATACATATACTGAAGCCAACCCTAATGCTGTCAACGTGAGATTGCTGCAAGAAACACCATAACCAATTCCAAAAAATATCAAAAAAACTCAAAACGGAATTCAACCTTCCAGGCCAATTCAAAACCTTTTCTTGATTCCAATACATTGCTAGGCCTCCCAGGAACGCATTGCAATCAAAACCAAGCGTTTAACCTCAAGAAATCGCTCTACACAGTCGCACGGTTTGGCTTTCTTTCTCATAATCGAAATTCATAATTCATGCATTATTAATGTGATTTTTTGTGTGCTTTGCATTGCTAGAACCTCTCTGAAGCTAATGGTACAGATTAATTTGATTATGGAGCCCTGAATCAAAAGATGCCATTAACAAGTATTAGGGTTCCGAAGCTTTCAAAATAGGGCTTTGCTGTATAGGAAAAATTGAGACTTCTCATGCCTATGGTTGTAATCCTGAAACTCAGACGAATCCAACAAGACTATCGCGCCCTATTTATATAGAGCATAGCTCTATTCGCTATTTTTGGTCGTTCCATGTTGTGGGGGTTAAATACCCCTGCTATTTGTTTTGTTTTTTGCAGGAAAAGGAAGAAGACGATTACGTGTGGATGCGTGATTGGCTGGATTCAAAGTGAAGCGCGCGTTTTTTTCTTTTACATCATATGTATTGGATTATTAATATATTGTTTGTTTAGTATTCTATATCAATTACAGGCAACTGGCCTAGTGGAGCATGCGATGTCCAATGACCATTGGGACCTGGGTTCGATTCCCAGGTCCCCCAAATATTTGTTTCATATTTTGTTTAACATGATTGCATGTAGCGCTTTCCAGTGACGTC